CTTTGTTGAAAAATGATGTCTTAGATTAACTTTGATGACTCTGTGAATAAGTTTGATGACTTTGAGAACAAGTTTGATAGCTCTGAGAATGACTTTAGATGTCTCTGAGAATGTCTTTGGATAACTCTGAGATTAACTTTGATGTCTTTGAAACAACTTTGACGTCTCTTGGAATAACTTTTGTGGACATGAGAATATCTTTGGATAACTCTGAGATTAACTTTGATAGCTCTGGGAATAACTTTTATGATTTTGAGAACATCTTTGATGTCTTGGAGAACAACATTGATGTTTAGAGAACAACTTTGATGACCAAGATTAACTTTAGATGTCTCTGAGAATAACTTTATAACATAGAAATTAACTTTAGATGTCTCTGAAAATAACTTTGATGACTTCGAGAATAACATTTGATGACTCTGAGAATAACTTTTATGTCTTAGAGAAGAACATTGATGGTTTAGAGAGAATATCTTTGATGAAAAATGATGTCTTAGATTAACTTTGATGACTCTGTGAATAAGTTTGATGACTTTGAGAACAAGTTTGATAGCTCTGAGAATGACTTTTATGCCTCTGAGAATAACTTTGATGAATAAGTTTGATGACTTTGAGAACAAGTTTGATAGCTCTGAGAATGACTTTTATGCCTCTGAGAATAACTTTGATGAATAAAGATGTTTTGGAAAGTTTCTCTGAAGAACGAAGGTGACTCTGAGAATAACTTTTGTTAGCTCTTTGAATAACTTTGATGTCTTTGAAACAACTTTGATGAACGAGAGTGAGTTAGAGATTACCTTTGTTAACTCTGAGATCAACTTTGATGAACAAAAGAGAGTTAGAGATTACATTTGATAACTCTAAGATTAACTTTAGATGTCTCTGAGACAAACTTTTATAACATAGAAATTAACTTTAATGACCAAAAGTGAGTTAGAGAATACCTTTTGATGACTCCGAGAATAATTTTGATAGCTCTGAGAATGACTTTTGTTGTCTTGGAATAACTTTTGATTGTGCTGAGAATAACTTTGAGGGCTTAGAGAATGTCTTTGATGAATGGAAGAGTCCCATTGAAGTCTTTGATGTCTCGAAGGATGTCTTAGAGTGTAACTTTGGTGTCTTTGAGTAAGTCCATGATGTATTGAAGAGAGTCTTTGATTTCTCGAAGAGTAACTTTGGTGTAAAGAAGAGCACCTTTGACTATTTTTCTTACTTAGCGACATATAATTTTAGTTACGAAAGTGTTGAAAAAGTTACATTTGACTATTTTAGTGCTCCACAAAGTATAAATGTCAGTTAAGAACGACGATGATAGATATCTTTGACTATATTTTCTTACTTGACGATGGATAAAGTTAGTTATGAACAGTGTTGAAAAGATTCCTTTGACAATTTTTAGCTAAGCAAAAGGTTACTTTAGTTAAGAACGGTGTTGAATGAGGTTAATCCTGACTATTTCAGATGAGAGAAGTGATATTTCAGTTAAGAAATGACAAGGAAACACGATGAAGTAACTATTTTTAGTTGACCGATGAATACTTTTAGTTGAGCAAAAGCCAAAACATGATGAACATGACTTTTTCTGATGATTGGCGGATAATTTTTAGATAAGAAATGACAATGAAACATGAAGAACACGGTTATTTTCTGATGACTGGGGAATAAGTTTAGTTAAGAAATGATGAAAGTTATTATTTTTAGTTGATTGACGATGGATAAAAGCTAGTTATGAACAGTTTTGGAAAGTTTCCTTTGACAATTTTTTCTTGATGAAACATAGCGGCTGTTAAGAAAGTGCTGAAAGAAGTTTCCTTTGACAATTTTCAGCTAAGAGAAAGGGTGTTTTAGTTAAGAACAGTGTTGAACGAGGTTATTTCTGACTATTTTAGTTGACTGGATAATAAGTTTAGTTGAGAAATGACGAAAGTGACTATGTTTTTAGTTGATTGGCGAAAGATTTTTAGTTAAGAAGTTACAAGAAAGGTTTGTCTTTGTAAATTTGGAACTGAATAAATTGTAGATTTGTTTAAGAATATGGCTGGTAGAACTATTAAGTTGACTACGAGAATTACTTTGACCTAGTTTTTGCAAATAAAAACTTGGTGACTAAAATTGTTGAGGAAACTGTATTGCTGATGCTAATATTTGACAAAGAACTAGTTAGTGAATGGAAGAAACAAAGAACATAAAAATTGAGGTTAAGTAAGGGAATGAACACAGTGAACATACGGTGAACACAGAAAACATGTAAGAAAAAGTTGATGAATACAGTGAACATGCTGGGAATATGAACTTACAGAGAACATGAAAACATGATAAGGAGAATAGGGAATACAAAGAATGAACAATGGACTTGTGAAGAACATGGAGAATATGACAAAGAATGTAGAAAACATGTAAGTGAAGGTGAAAAACGAAGTGATCTTGTGAGGAACATGAACTTGTAGAGGAACATGAATATTGACAAAGAACACAACATATGGAAGTTAGCATGAATATTGAGTATAAAAGTTGTAAAGAGAACATGTGATGAATATGAAAACATAGAAAATATGACTAGAATTTGTAGAGAACATAATGAGACTAAAAAAAAAAATGGAGATACTTGTGAAAATATGAACTGAATGGGACTGTGAACATTTGTAGAACATGGAGTGAACACGGATGAGAATACGAAGAACACAGTGAATATAGAGAAAATATGCAAATACAGTATGATTATTGAAGGTTTGGATACGTTGGGGATTGATACGTTGGGGATGAGAAGGGTAAAGTAATTACTCAGATAAACAGATAGGCTGGAGAGGGACTTGATCGAATATATTTATGTCTGATGATCTAAGGCTGAGGAAATGGAGCTTGGTTAATGTCCAGATTAATTTTACTACGTTAGAAAATAAGGTGATCTTAAATCTCAGGGTGATTTAGTTGGAAAATAAAGAACTTGCACAAATGAACTAAGCTGGGGCACAAGAGTTGAAACTTGATAACTGAACTGGTTTTATTTACTATGTCTGAAAATGTAGTTGGGTGATTTGGACTGAGAGTAATGATTTTACAAAAGTGAGCTTGGACAGAGGACAAGAGCTAGTTTTATAATTGTTTACTTCATATTTACTATGTCTGAAATACAGAGGGTAAAAAATTTCAGGGAAATTGATGGTTTATTTACAAAGACTTGAGGGTGGAAGAGGGTGGGGGACGAGAGCTGGAGCTCGATAACTGACTTGATTTTATTTACTAACTTTGAAGTATGTCTGCTTTTAATTTTAGGGAAATTGATGGGTTATTTACAAAGATACGAAGGAGAACTAAGGCGGGGACGAGAGCTGGAGCTCGATAACTGACTTGATTTTATTTACGGTGTCTGAAATACAGAGGGTAGAAATTTCAGGGAAATTGATGGTTTATTTACAAAGATATGAAAGAGAACTAAGGCGGAGGACAAGAGCTGGAGCTTGGTAACTGTTTTGATCTTATTTATGGTGTCTGAAATACAGAGGCTAAAAATCTCAGGGAATTTGGACTGTTACTAATGATTTTGTACAAATGAACTAAGCTGGGGACAAGAGCTAGAGTTTGATAATTGTTTGCATTTACTAAACTATGTCTGAAATACAGAGGGTAGAAATTTCAGGGAAATTGGACTGATACTAACGAAGATACGAGAGAGAGCTAAGGCGGAGGACAAGAGCTGGAGCTTGGTAACTAAATTACTGTATTGAACAACATTTGAAATATGATTATTTTTAAATTTTGGAATGATAGTATTCTTTATACGACAGGGGACTATTGTGGGGAACGTGAGCTAGAACTTGCTTACTAACATGATTTATTTGTGTAAAACTGACTTGCTTAATGAAAAGGAGCAAACATACTGACTTGCTTAATGAAAAGGAGCAAACATACGATGTTGGAAAATAGTTGAACTGAATGAAAGGAGAGAGAGAGAGAGAGGAGGGACGGTCCAGATATTATGAGAAGATAACATAAGATAAGAGGTCTGGCTGACCGGGCGTAAAGTAAACACAGGTGAGGCGACAGATTGCGAGGTAAGGGGGGGAGGGAGGGGGGTGTGATGTACGAAACCCTGAAAACAATGACTTACACAGGTGATTTTCTAAATTTATATGAATAACTAAGGCTTACATAGACGATTTTGTAAGTTGAAAACATGTAAAATATGTCCGTAGAGTTCTCCTGGAAGCCCTAAAGTGCTACACACGTTATTTGAATTTCTCCCATAAGGCTTTAACAAACTTCTAAGTCTCGGAAATTATTTTTCTCATAAGAAATCCTTACTTCTAAAATCTGCGACTGACAAAATTTACCTGAAAACCCCCAAGCGCTATACACGATTTTCTAAATTTACCTGAAACCCTTGGGGCGCACAGGGGATATTCTAAATTTACCTGAAACCCTTGGGGCGCACAGGGGATATTCTAAATTTACCTGAAACCCTTGGGGCGCACAGGCACTTTTTTCCCAGAAAAAAAAATTCCCCTGTGTGGAGCCATCCCCCCTACTACTCACATCACCCCCAAAGACCTTAATAGTTTCCAATATCATTTATATTCTTGTGATTGCGGCCTATCATCAATGTATTTGTGATCAGGTATTAAAATGCTCGCGCTTATAGTGTCATCAGTATACTTGTAGTATGTCATCAATATAGTATAGTAACATAAGTATGATTGTAGTGTGGCATCAATATGTTTGTAACGTGTCATCAATATGCTTGTACTGGGGCATCAATATGCTTGTAACGTGTCATCAATATGCTTGTAACGTGTCATCAATATGCTTGTAACGTGTCATCAATATGCTTGTAACGTGTCATCAATATGCTTGTAACGTGTCATCAATATGCTTGTAACGTGTCATCAATATGCTTGTAACGTGTCATCAATATGCTTGTACTGGGGCATCAATGTGCTTGTAACGTGTCATCAGTAAGACTATGGCCTGTCACCAGCACTCGAGGTACGGGTACTCACCAGCACAGGGCAGGTCGCAGGTCGGGGAGGGGGAGGCATGGTGGAAGTAGTCGTATCCCTGCTGGGGGGAGTAGGCCAGGTAGGTCCGTTCTGAGGGCGGGGGCGTGGGCGGGAGGCCGTTCAGGTCCAGAGGGGAGAGGGGGTCGTAGCCGGAATCCGTCTCACTCCCGTCTTCCCCACCAACGGTGTGTCGAACCCACGACTCTTCCAGCTGAGGCAGAAGTGAATCCATGTTTTCCAAGCTCGCGTATAAGCTAGGAGAATCAGGAGCTGCTACGAGAGGTGTCCTAGGGCGCCATGGTGAACATGGAGACTGGGGTTACGAAGAGGGGCAGGTTGAACGAAGCACTAGGTTGAGTACTCCAAGGGTACCCCCGCACTCACAAGGGTCTACCAGGTACACAGTACACTAGGGTGTTGGCTCCGCTCTAGTCACCAGAGGGCAAGAGGGTGAGATAATCACTTGCATCGCTAAAGCTTTCTTCCAAAAAAGATCAATGTTTGCTTGCCGTTTGCGTCGCACCACTACAACACTGCGGTACATGAAGGTACAGCAGCTCACTGGGTCCACAGATACGGTACATGAAGGTACAGCAGCTCACTAGGTCCACAGATACGGTACATGAAGGTACAGCAGCTCACTGGGTCCACAGACACGGTACATGGAGGTACAGCAGCTCACTGGGTCCACAGACACGATACATGGAGGTACAGCAGCTCACTGGGTCCACAGACACAGTACATGGCAGTTTTCATTTCACTTTACAATTTAAAGGAATCCTCATGATGGTTCAGTAAGGTACACTAGGTACTCATCATTGGGCTAGGGATGGTTCAGTGCGTGGTTGGCTGAGGGTACTCACACGGTACTTGATACCGGGTACCTCGCTTGGAGAAGGTGTCAACCTCACGTAACTCGTTCAAATGCAACAGTCTGTAAAGATTGAGAATGGGTTGAATATTTTGAGAGAGAGAGAGAGAGAGAGAGAGAGAGAGAGAGAGAGAGAGAGAGAGAGAGAGAGAGAGAGAGAGAGAGAGAGAGAGAGAGAGAGAGAGAGAGAGAGAGAGAGAGAGAGAGAGAGAGAGAGAGAGAGAGAGAGAGAGAGAGAGAGAGAGAGAGAGAGAGAGAGAGAGAGAGAGAGAGAGAGAGAGAGAGAGAGAGAGAGAGAGAGAGAGAGAGAGAGACCCTCAATACAGACTCAAAAAAGAATCATTACATACAACTATAAATATATAGTTTACCCAGACGTTAAACCTTCAAATATATACATTCAAACTGAGAACACAAAAACAGATTTAACAATGCTGTCAAATGCATGTTAACTTAGAAATCAATGTACTGATTTTATTCTTGCTGTAATTGATACAAAGTATCATATTCCAGCAAGTCAGCAACGTGGCACAATGTCATTAAGTGGTGTGCTACGTGTACAGTGCACCCTCTGGCGGCCCACGGGGCACTGCGCTGTTTCGGTACAGCATATACCCCTTGAAACGCATTTGTGTTTGGACCGAGGAAAACAGATAAACACTTCCATACGTTTTGGAAACATTATGTCGTCACTTAGGTCTAGTGCCCTCTGTTCACCTAGCAGTAAATAGGTACCTGGGAGCTAGACAGCTGCTATGAGTTGCTTCCTGGGGGGAGGGGGGGTAACAAAAAGGAGGCCTGGTCGAGGACCGGGCCGCGGGGATGCTAAGCCTCGAAATCATCTCAAGATAGTGATGTTACTTACGGTGTATCAGGCACATGATTCTCCAAATTGCTAAAAATTCCAACCTGTCCTCAGGGAGGAAATGCTCACAGGAATGAATTGAGAATGACTACATAATTAGTGCCGTTATCTACTCTCTATCAATGGATTCCTTAGGTTAAGGTTTGATCAGGTTAGGTTAGGTTAAGAGAGGTTTCATTACGTTTGGTTACGTTAATAAGGGGTATTATTGACGATAATGTGAAATATGGAATTCGAAAAATATTTCAGTGTACCCGAGAATTACAGAAACCCAAATTCTTGAAAGAAAACCTTTTCAGGGTACACGTTTTATATATTAAACCAACGATTTTTAATACAATAAAGTTGTAATAACTTGAGAATAATCTCTGTTTAAGACAAAGGTTCACTTCCCAGTTTACATGTAGACTATTACTGGAACCATAATATGCATTCAGACCATCAAAAATATTTATATAACTATCGAGATGGTTTGAGTGGGAGGGGGGGGGGGTGATCTCATGATTATGGATTTGGTTTGAGGATGGACTCAACAATTTTTAATTGCCTAATCTAATTATCATAACCAAACTATGATAACCAGTTTTGGGTTTTGATCCTATGTTATTATTACTAGGCCTACTATTGTTGTCATTACTAGGCCTACTGCTGTTACCATTGTTGTCATTACTAGGCCTACTACCTACTAACTAGGCTTATTACCATTACTACAACTGTCGTCACAACACAAACTGTAAGCAAAATGTTTTAAATGTGTGTGTGTAGAGTGTAAGTTTCCCCTCACACTGCTGTACAGGTGTTCACTCCAGCCACAACTGTGATGATTTGGATGACTTATTACGAATAAATCCCTCTTATTTTTATTGCTGTACTGTCACCACTACTTCTGTTGATACTGCTGTCATTACTTCCACTATTACTACTATCGTTACTACTGCCATCACTACCACCATTACTACTCTATTTTGCCACCACTGCTGCTATTACTACCAATACCACTACCGTTACTACTATAATTCTCACTACGACACATTTTAGGGCTACTACCACTGCTATAACCACCAATACTTACAATACTACTACTGCTGCTACTATTACTATTAATACTACCAACACCACCAATACTACAACTAATTCTGTCATTTATATTCAGTAACTATTAACAGAAATACTAATCCTCATTAGTCTCATGATAGGCTTCGACAACTTTATTAAATTAATACTGTTACTGTGATAGTTGTAGTGTAAATAACATTATATTACGAAACGTGGAAGCATAAAGTAAATATTCGCACAGAGAAAATATGCACAACCATTACTAGTCAGATTTGAATGGCAAAACAAACTTTGAACGGGGAATTTAAAAAAAAAATGATTGTATATACTACCTTTGTTTGAGGTAATCAATGTAGTTTTAGGGGTTATTAGAGGTTGTATAGTAGTTCGTGGAGCCACATCCTGCTGACACGAACGCCACAAGATTACTGGCCCCACGTCACGCTCATTCACAGGATAGCCTAATGAATGGGCACTGTCACCCGAACACTTGCACTGACTTCGTCTAAAGAAACGTCGCTCAAATATGAATTTGATTTAAATGTTCTGAGCTTTGTTAATCAAGATAAAATGGGAAAGGTTAGAGTATGCGAGGAAATATAAGAATATTATAGGTTTTGGCGGGTAGCAAGTTATTGAGTGACAGCTAGTCGACGCCAAGGAACAACTTTGGCATACATTGTTTATCTCTGTGACCCAGGCCTCGTGCGCGCGCAGTCTCTGATTGTGGTCGGTTACACTTCATAAATTATGCTTTTCGCTTATGTTTGAAAAAGCCTCTGCAAACCCATTAAGTATTTCAAGTGTATGTGGCAGAAATGTGTATATATTATATATTATATATTCGTATTATATATTTGAAACAATCATGTACTCTACTTCCATAAATAATAGTTCAATTTTAATTATATAAACTGTTATCTAAAAAAATCAAAGTTTGATTTATATGCAATTAATGTATGTAAGTTATCATTCATTTGTGGCCATAATTAGCTTCTCCATCTCAATCTTGAATAGCTCGGAGATGTCTGGAAGGTCAGCGAACATCTCAACTGCCTCAAAATGTTCAGAAATTTTCGAGGGTGACCTAACATCCTCGATGGCTTCCTGCCCTCTCATTATTTATCCGAACTGTGGACGAGGTAGAAAACCAAACAAGAAGACTCATCGCTGGTCATTGTGGTTTGACTGGTCAGTACATCGGAGCCCTCAGCACCAGGGAGATGTCCGCGGCTGCGCTTTTATGTATGAAGCCAATGTTCATAAGATTCCTTATCTGGCCAGAAGATGCGTTCCTCATCAGAAGTCGGCAGCCACAACACGAGGCGCTCAGCCATCAACAGCAGCATCATGCTCTTGTGCCATTATCCAAAACATCACTCCATTAGCAAACGACCTCTCAACATGTTGGTACTCCTTGCAAGCAGGTAAACCGACCAGATGATGGCTCTGGTCAACCTGTCCTCTCAAAAAATACATCGCATTATGTTGTCAAAAATTCTCATCGGTCAAAATATGATGTACTATAAAAAATTGCGGCTTGCAAAAGTTCCCGTTTTCTATGCGTGGGGTCGTAAATTTAGTACGACAATTTAATACATCATTTTCTGTCCGTTGTGACAAGTGGAGAGGACGAACTGCTCGGGTACATAGTTACGACCCGAGCTTCCCCCTGTACCCGGCCTGATTGTAACAACATGGAATAAAGATAATTTGTATTGAAAACTCCAAATAATAAACTCATCAATAAATTACATTGTAGGATCAGGCTTAATATTAGCTGACGTAGACCACGAGGTCTTGTTCCTTTTATGTGAGAGATCAGCGTCAACCCTAATAAATAATAAAGGAGAGAGAGAGAGAGAGAGAGAGAGAGAGAGAGAGAGAGAGAGAGAGAGAGAGAGAGAGAGAGAGAGAGAGAGAGAGAGAGAGAGAGAGAGAGAGAGAGAGAGAGACGTGAGGACACCGGATAACTCACCCAGCTTCCGGTACAGACATACCACCCACACCACCCATCACTTCACCCCTCCACACCACCCATCATTCCACCCCTCCACACCACCCATCACTCCACCCCTCCACACCACCCATCATTCCACCCCTCCACACCACCCATCACTCCACCCCTCCACACCACCCATCACTCCACCCCTCCACACCACCCATCACTCCACCCCTCCACACCGCCCATCACTCCACCCATCACTCCACCCCCTCCACACCACCCATCACTCCACCCCTCCACACCACCCATCACTCCACCCCTCCATACCACCCATCACTCCACCCCTCCACACCACCCATCACTCCACCCCTCCACACCACCCATCACTCCACCCCTCCACGCCACCCATCACTCCACCCCTCCACACCACCCATCACTCCACCCATCACTCCACCCCTCCACACCACCCATCACTCCACCCCTCCACACCACCCATCACTCCACCCCTCCACACCACCCATCACTCCACCCCTCCACACCACCCATCACTCCACCCCTCCACACCACCCATCACTCCACCCCTCCACACTCCACTCCTGCAGGAAACACACATACCTCTGGCAGTTGATGGCCCCACTATGACCTGGGGGCCAGATTCACGAAGCAGTTAGGCAATCACTTACGAACCTGTCTATATTTCCTCAATCTTTGGCGGCTTTGTTTACAATTATTAAACAGTTAATGAGCTCGGAAGCACCAGGAGGCTGTTTATAACAATACCAACAGTAGATTGGGAAGTTTTCATACTTGTAAACTGTTTAATAAATGTAACCAAAGCTGTCGAAGATTGAGGAAAGATGTACACGTTCGTAAGTGCTTGCGTAACTGCCTCGTGAATCTGGTCCCTGTTCTTGACTGAACTGCACAGCAAACAAATTATTTAAGTAATATTATCACCCCTAAGAATATTACAGTGATCCGGAGAACCAGGTGGAATTTGGTTCTCCCTAAAGAACCGGAACTGAAAGATAGCATCCGACACGGTAAATTATTAGGCCTCGGCAGGGCAGAGCCGTTCGTCAGGTGGCTCAGGGAATCGACGTACTAATGCTCTGTCATGCAAGGTAAACTCGGACCAATTCGCAGTTCACTCTCTACAAGGCCAGCTGGGGGTGACTCAAGGAAGAAGCCATGTGC